ATTCAGTACTATAGTGCTTTGTTTCATGTTCGTCATATGCATTTCAGCAGACAAGCTAGAATCAAATTTCATTACAATTTCGAATAAATAATAATTTTTTTTTCTAAGTTTGATCGTAATCAAAATGATCAGAATATTACATAATTCTGAATTTTAGTGTTCTAGAAATTAAATAAAAAATTTAATAAATTTAACTCGTCAAATCATATTTTAGCTGATAAGCTATAAATCTAGAATAACTATATATTAATTATTGCAAAATTGATAATTAATGTTTTTTATTACCCTATTATTTTATTATAATATTATCTTTCGCTTCTAGATAACGGCTTAGCATCAATACTTGTTTATATCTTTTCTTTTAAATAATACCATCGCTACTTTCTTTATCATGTCGCAATACATTAGAGTTCGACAGAAGGTTAGATGTTGTTGCAAAAAATGTTGTTATAAAAATCCTGATGGATGCATGGTCGATACGAGAACAAAAAGGCAGCATGAAGAAGAAGAAACACATTTTCAAAATGAGTTCGCTAAGAGAAGGAAAACAAATAGTTATCAAACTATATATGCTAAGAGCTCAGTACAATCGAAAGAAGACGAAATTAGTCTTAATGAAGTAAAGTTGGCAATAAAATCTATTACTCCAAAACAAACGGTTAACCAAATTCGAACGTCATCTCTTATATCTACAAAAAAAAGAAAAAGAAAAGGTCAATTTTGGTCCCAAGAAAGTCAAAGCAATACCAAAAATTTAAATCATAACGAATATATCGATCGCTTTGAGGATAACGATGAGTTTTTGGATAACGATCGCTTTGAGGATAACGATGAGGATAATGATGAGTTCCTGGATAATAATCGCTTTGAGGATAACGATGAGTTATTGGATAATAGCGATAATATGATAGAAAACAATGATAATGATAATAATTACTCTGAAGATGCTACAGATGATCCAGAATTTTATGAAGAAATTGAAGATTTAGAAAGTATTTCAATTAATCTATTTCAAGCTCCTAAAGTTGATTTCGATAAGCCTGCACATATTCCTGAGCCCAATATAAATATTAATGATATATTATGGATTCTTATATGGGTATTTAAGTTTCAAGAAAGGTTCCAACTTTCAAATGTTGTAACTAATACCCTCATCAGTTTTCTTTGCTTACTTTTAAGAAGCATCGATAAAAGCCGTTTTGACAAGTTCCCGTCAAACATTGATCGTGCACGGGATATACTAAATTTCGATAGACAGAATAAAACATTTACAGTTTGCCCCAAATGTAATAAATTATATAATACAACAGAAATAATACCAGATAATCAAGATTCTGTTGGGTTTAAATGCATACATAAAGAATTTCCAAATCACCCAAGACCAAGTCGGCGAAAGCCTTGTGGAGAGGAGTTACTAAAAAAGATTTTTACAGTAGACGGGCATGTTTGGCGACCACGAATGCAATATCTGCTACCAAGTATTAAGTCTCAATTATTTTTAATGTATCAACAAGATGGGTTTAACATGTTACTCCAAAAATGGGCAAATCGATCTGTAGATACTAATATAATTTCTGATATCTACGATGGAGAAATTTGGAAAACTTTTCCTTCTCAAGTTGATTGTTCGGATAATTCCTGTTTTTTCACACCAGAAACAGCGGATCGTAATTTAGAAATTTTAATTAACCTCGATTGGTTTCAGCCATTCAAATATTCTATATATAGTTGCGGCATAATTTATGATGCTATCTGTAATCTCCCACGTGAGATAAGGTTTAAGAAAGAGAATATGTTAATACTCGGAATTTTGCCAGGCCCTAGTGAGGTTAAGCTACATAGGATTAATCACTATTTGGCGCCTATTATAGATGAATTAGAGGAATAGCATTACCAAATGGAAAAATAATTAGACTTGCGGTAATCTGCTGCTCATGTGACATTCCGGCGGCAAGAAAACTATGCGGGCATATATCCGCATTGTCCGGATGTCATAAGTGTTATGAACAAATATCTAAAAAAAATAAAGACAAAAAAAATAAGAAAGAAGATAAAAAAGATAAAAAGAAGGACAAAAAAGATAAAAAAAATAAAGATAAGGAAGACGATTATGAAGAATTAAAAAATCAATTCAAAGCACGTGATTTGGATGAACATATAAAAAATGCTCGAGCATGGTTGAAATGTACAACAGAGGATCAAAGGAAAAAACATGTCACGAATACACATGTTAGATGGACAGAGCTTCTTCGATTACCGTATCATAATCCAATTAGACATTTGGTCGTTGATCCCATGCATTGTCTGTTTCTTGGGATAATACCATTGATTATAAAGAAGCTCTTTATCGAAGGAGTTGTAATTTCCAAATCCGACCTTCGAATAATAGCTGATCGGGCAAAAAAGTTACAATTACCCGCGGATTTAGGAAGGATCCCCAATAAAATTGAAACTGGTGATGGGTTTTCCGGATTTACCGCTGATCAGTGGAAGTCCTTTATTTTATACTATGCAACGCCAATAATGTGGGATCTTTTAAAAGGTTCTGATCGAAAAATTTTGGCCAATTTTGTTAGGGCTTGCACTTTGCTTGTATCGCGTATTATTGATAAAAATATATTGAATGAGGCAAATTATCGATTGCGAACAGTTGCCCAACTAATTGAAGAAAATTACGGATCAGAAGCAATAACACCTAATATTCATTTGTCACTTCATATAGTTGAATGCTGTTTAGATTATGGTCCTTTGTATTCATATTGGTGTTATTCATTTGAAAGAATGAATGGAGTCCTAGGATCATATAAAAATAGTAAGCGCCAGATAGAAGCAGA